TCCACCTTCAGCCTGAACGGCCGGTTCGGGTATGTCTGTCGTTACCATACATCCGTTGTGATATTATAGAAACGCCAACTTGCAAAACTGTCTGAAGAGCTGGTGCGTTGCTGGTCACTGCAGCATCCAAACACGCTCTAACTGGGGTAACAAGGAAAGTCGTGCTCTCCTTTGCTCTATTTTTTCCCTCTAAAAGTTTCTCCACCAATCCAAACAGTTTGTACTGTCCCATTTTTGTAAAGAGCGAGTTCTTTGCTGCTGTGGCAGCTGTGGTCTGGCAGGAGGGAGGTGGGACCATGCTGCTTGTCTCCTAGAGCAACACTTGCACTCCTCTAACGCTCAGGGTAACTCTTAAGTGGGTGCCCAGTCATGTAAGACCCCAGCAAAGCTTTTGTTTCCGAAGTGCTATTTACAGCTTTCTGAAAAAAAAACCACCCACGGAAGTGGCCCTGAGAAGTTCTGGCGGTGGTTTTGCAGCTGGGACGCAGTTGTCAGTGGGACGGGCAGGGCAGCTGCAGCTGCAAAGCCACCTTGGATCAGGGAGGGAAGCCCTGTTCTTTGGGACTGTCTTTCTTCCACAAGAATTAACATTCTGAGTGGACTCCAGCATAGGGTCAGCCTGAGGAGAACTTCTGGGGCGATCGTCACCTCTGCAGCTCTCTGCGGGTTCAGAGCACAGAACCAGACCCAGACAGACTGCCCTGCTCCTGCCAGGCACCGCGCCCTGCGCGCCGGCACCACCGCAGCCCCGGGACTTCACTGAAACACAGATGCAGCCGCGCAGCCCAGGGCAGAACCTGCCCCTTGGCTGTCGCTGCTGCTCCTCGCAGCACCCCGACGTTGTGCTCCAGCACCTCGGCACCGCCTCCGACGCAGCGGGGACCGAGCGCAGAGGCGTGACGCCCAACAGGGCGGCAGGAGGAGATCCAAACTCTCTCTGAACCAACCTATTTTCCGCCTCTTCGGCCTGCTTTCCGGGTGCGGTTCTGGATGTCCTCACAGGCGATGGAGCAGGACGTGGCGTACGACGCAGCCAAGCGTCGCCCCCCGGCCCAGACCCCGCTCCCCCACCCAGACTGAACAGACGGTGCAACAGAGAATTTATTAAAATACAGCGATTTCAGTGTCCCGCAGCAGCGACATGCCGGGGGCTCAGCCCAGGCTGAGCCGCTCCCGGTTCTCCCAGAGCCACGCGTGGTACACGTTCAGCTTGTGGTCCTGCGGCTGCACCTACAACGCAGCGAACGGGATCGACATTTGCCAAAACACCCCCTTCCACACACCCCCTCCCCAGGCGGGACCCCCCGTGCCTTGCAGGGAGCAGTGACAGGCCGTGCACTGAGGGGTCCAGCGCTCGGTCAGCCCGAAACCCCCACCCCCCGTGAACGGGGAGGGGGCCCTGCGCCAGGGAGCAAAGCGTCCCTCGCAGCCGCCCGCCATCACAGGAGACCAGCACAGGCGAGGCCCCACCAAGGGATGCCGGGATCCGGCTGGCAGGAAGCACAGGGAACCCCGGCCTGACCCGGAGCAGGGGAGAGACTCCCACCCCCACATCAAGGGAGTGAGAAAAAGAACACGGTGGAAGTGGGAAGTGACAGAACAAAAACAACCCGGGTGACACAAGCCTTCAGGTACAGGCTCGGGCTTGCGCATCCTGGGAGCCCAGCCCACCGAAGGATAAACCCAGCTGTCTTCCGTTTCCCACCCAAGGCAGCCCGCAGGCACCAGCCCCGGGACACCGAAGGACGGAGCCCCACTGCCGGCAGCGCGGCCGCGGCACCCACCTCCTTCCACTCGTTGACGCAGAAGATGCGGTAGGAGTCGTTCCCGTACTTGCCGATGCCGTGCAGCTCGATGGGGTACTTCCACCGCTTGCTCAGGTACTCGTCTGCAAGGCAGGGCCACGGGCCTCACCGCCTGCCTGCCGGCAGCAGGGCGCGGGGAGCAGCTCTGGGCAAGCCCCCGGCTCTGCCGTCCTAACACCTCCACTTGGGAACGTCTTGAGTGCGAAACACAAGTTTTAGCTATTTCCTGGTGAAAGCAGGCGATGAATCCCTACGGGGTACATCTTAAATAGCCCTGCAACAACTCGCTGAGGGCGAGTCTTAATTACATCTCTCTCCTCAGAACCACAGGGGAACACTTTTACTCCAAGTATAGAAAATCACAGAAAAATTCAGGCTGGAAGGGCGTCAGCCAGTACAAAACGGAGCAGAGTCACCTCATCACAGTGCTGCAGAACAGTCAGCCCTGCAGGCGTTCCTAGCTTCTCCCGCTCAGGGACGTCTCCCCACCAAAGGCCTCTCGCAGAACCCACAACGTGTGGGTTATTTTATCCTCGGTTACGCCGCAGGATCGGCAGCTTTGCATAAGGGACCAACACGTCCCAAAGCTGCATGAACCAAACCAGCGCCGACACTTGCCAAACGGAAGGCGAAGCCACCGCGTGTCGTTTGAACCAACGCTGACTGCCCGGGCAGCACCCGTCCCACCGTCCCAGGCATGGCCAGGGAAACCTACCCGAGAACTTGGTGATGGTTTTTGCTCTGAGTTCGTAGAGGCCGAGCGGTTTGAGCAGCTCTGACATCTCTTTCCAGTCTGCGGCCCTGGCTATTTCCGGAGAAGGATACTTCTTCAGGAACTCCCAGAGCACAGGGATTGCCATCTTGCCTAGTGACAGAAACCACCGTGAACAGAGAGCCGTGCAGGCCATCCTCTCTTTTGACTGCCCCCGTATGCCTCTTGGAATCCTCCTTTTCAGAGGCAAGAGTTACAAATTAAAGATTTTCTTTCTCACACTGACACAAGTTAATATACATTTCTTCTTTCATCGCTGCCATTACAAATGGCACCCGTTCTGACCCTGGAACAGCAACCCAACACTTAAGCAACATGAAATTGTCTTACTCCGTTACCTGAAGTTTTATTGAGAAATATGGTTGCAATGAGAAGTTTCCACGGATCATGGAAAAGTGTTTCTTGGACCAGATTAAAAGGAGAGCGTGGAGGAGTCCATTTCCTTAAGGCCTTCCTTCTAGGTGGGCTGGGAGCTGTACACGGAGGCAATACAGGGATGGTTACTGGACAGCAGAGGATGGCTTTACTCATTTAAATAATGAAAAAAATTGGAGACTTTTTGAAGCAGATTCATCCAGGGGGGCACTACGTGCGGACGGAGCAATGGCCATTCCACACAAATTTCACGGAGCGGCAGGGACTGCGCGTCCCCCGGCACAGACTGCAGTAAGGGTCACGGCTGCCCACCTGCGTCCCCGCGCCCCATGACACGCCTGTGTTTGGAGGAGAGACCCTCCAGCTCCCGCCACGCTCCCGTGTACGTGCAGAGCAGCAGCCGCAGGGTACGGGGCTTCCCCCGGCAGGGTGAACGCCTCAGCGCTCCCAGGAGAACTCCCCCGAAGCCCTTCGCCCCAGCGCTGCGCTGCCGCCAGAAGAGCTGCCGAGGCGTTCGATACCAGAGACCTAACGGGTGTTGGCAAGGCACAGACACCGAGGTTTAACAGGGGGCAGCCCGGCACCGGGGCAGGCAGCCTAAAACTGGCGACTTTCCGTGACTTCACTTCATCTTGAGCCATCCTATTCCTCCCCCCACAAAAAGAGATCTATTTCCCTAGCGAATATTGTACCTTCTTTACTGTATTTACTTGAAAAATAGGGACTCGTTTTCCTCCTATCCACTTGTGTTCGTGGGACAGACTCTTCTGTAAAGAAATAATACTTCAGCATTAGAAAACCCAAGTATTTTGCTGTCACGTTTCATACACTGCTCCCACTTTATGCTGTGATGGAAATACAAGGATTTCTGGTAGGTGTACAAACATAAACATGCTTTAGATTCACTCCAGTGCTGCTCTGCATTTCAATGCTGTGAACAATCTTCAGAAGATTAAACCGCTACTTTGCCACAACCTGAGGGAAGAGGCTCAAACTACAACCAAGGACTAGACGCTGCCCACACGCTCTAGCACACGAAACAAGCTAGAACTTGCCTTGTTCATGAATCAAACTGACCAACCACACCACAGGAAGGGTTAGTGCAGCCAAGGTCATGAACACGACTACGTTACACCTCACAGCTAAGAGGCTGGCAGGGCAAGTTCCAGTTGTGAATTCAGCTGCATTAAGCTAGAGGCTGTTGGATAAAGAAATGAGGCGGATTCAGATGGCAAAGCCACCAGCCCGAAACGGAAGACTGTGCTGGTGCCGTGAGGAGAACCGTGGCAGAACGTTAGGGTCACGTCCTGCTCAGCAGCGCACACACGCTGGCGGTGCTGTCACTGCTGTGAGGATTGTCTTGTCACACGGCTGCAGGACGTCAGCACCCGTTTCAGTGGCAGGTTTTAATTCCCAGTTACCTGGATTCCCTCAATCTGCCTCCTTCCCTGCTTTCCACCCACCGGTTTTCTCCTCAGGCTTTGCAGAACCTGCCTCCACACCTTCCTCCGCTGCCAGGACCTCCAGCTGCCTCTGCGCGCGAGCTGCCGCTGGCCTCAGCCGTGCGCCCGACTGTGACCTGGTCACCCTCCACGGAGCTCTCCCTGCACCCAGCGGGTCGGTGTTCTGATCAGCAACGCCCTGACCACCAGCGGCACGCGGGTCTGTCTCTCGACAGAGCTTCTTGCTCTGAACGCACTCAGCTTCCTCTTGGCTACAGACTCTTCTCTGCCTTTTCTTCTGCGTATTATCTTGATTCCTCTTCCCTGAGCTCCTTCCAGTCTTCTCACTCTGAATGCCTTTTCCACCTGCCCCCTTTTTTTTCATTTTCAAACAGTCCTGGGGGTTTATGCCTTTCGTGATCAAATCTTCACTCTCTGGAGTGGACGTAACATCTTCCAGGTGCTCATTTCCAGTCTGAACATTTAGAATTCTGTCCTCTGCACCGTTTTGTGTACCGAGGCCTTGCACTTGCCTGTGGCAATCCTCGTTCTCTAAAACAGTTCCCGCAGCTTTTGTGCCGCATCTTTTCACCCTCGAGCGGGCACTGCTCTGACGAGGAGCTGTAAAATCAAAGTCTTCTGCTTTTAGCGTTGTCTCACCAGTTTTCCGAAAATACTCCGCAAGCGCGCTCTTTGATCTGAGCTTGCTGCCGTCAGGGCTGCGGTACGAAAGGAAGTAAGTTAGTGACGGCTCCTTCATTCTCTCGCTCTTCGCTTAAAAAGTTGTTTAGAGTTTAAAAACAACGAATGACAAAACCAGCTGGCGGGGTGACGCACAGACACGCTTCTGTGCCTCGGCCAGGACAGCTCTGCGCACAGCGCTGACAGGCAGCGACGCGCTTCAGCTCACGAACCCCGGG